GAGTGGTAACAGAGGACTTTGGATGACTAGAGAGCAATATAAAGATATTGCGTATCTGAGAATCGGGTGAATACTTTGACCTCTTTACCTAAAGATTCACCATTGAAGTCCTTTAAAGATGGAGCTCCTTTAATGCATATGAAATGTGAGTGGATATATACACATACTCCTCACTCTCTCTCAACTCTGCCCCCCCCCATCCAATCTGCTGCCAAGGCCTGCCATTTTACCTTTGTAAAATTTCTTGAATATACCTTGGAGACTGTAACCACTCTGCTCTGGGCCAGCCCTCATTACCTCATGCCTGGACTATTGCAATAGTCTGCTGGTTAGTTTCCCTGCCATAAGTCTCTTCCCAGTCTAGATGACCTCCATTCAGCGGTCAGAGGGATCTTCCTAAAGGATGGGTTTGGGAATGTCATCATCCTACTCAGTAAACTCAGGGGTTCCCCATCACCTCCAAGATCAAATATAAATTCCTCTATTTGGCATTCAAAGCCCTTCACCCCAGCTATCCAGTCTTCTTATACTTTACACCCCTTACCCCATCACATGCTCTGTGATCTAGTGACACCAGCCTCCTTACTCCATCTCCCAGTTTTGTGAATTTTCACTGTCAGTGGCTGTCCCCATACCTGAAATGTTGTTCCTCCTTTTCTCCACCTTCTGGCTTCCTTCAAGTCCCAGCCAAAATCCCATCTTCTATAGGAAGTCTTTCCCAATCCCTCTTAATTCTAGAGTCTTCCCTCTGTTACTTCCAGTTTAGCCTGTATATTGTTTGTTTGAAATAATTATTTGCATGTTGTCTCCCTCATTAGATTGTGAGTTCCCTGTGAGCAAAGACTGTCTTTCACCTTTCTTTGAATGCCCAGCACTTCGCACAGAACCTGACATATAGTAGGCACATAAGTAAACGTTTCTTGACTGACTTGACACAAACTTCATGTACACAGAACTCTTCAGGACTACTATTACATTAAGCAGAGTATTCTTGCATTTTTTTATTCTTTTATGACCTGTTGATGGTGAAGGGAAGAAACATAACTAATATTTACTGAAAAGCTATGGATAAAGAAACACTGCTTCCTAATTGTAGGGAATAGAAAATTGAGTATTTTTGAACAACAAAACACACACACACACACACACACACACACACCCCAAATCACTTTAGTATGTTCTTTGAAAATTACCCAGAGATGATATGTCTAGTGTTTTAAGTGAACATGATCATAAAAAAAATAACAATAGTGTACTCACACATTTGGACGTAGGAAAGAATGGAAAGTTAAAGGGTAGCAACGTTCATTAAAGGAAAGTTAATAGGTAAAGTATAACATTACTGAAAAGGAAGCCCATAGTTTCAGATAACCAAGATTACATCATCCTTAACTTGAAATGCTATCTGTGGTAAACTCTCCACCTCACCCCCCAAAAAAGGTGCATATAAAGGATATACAAATATAATAGATCATGTTCATAAAAATTAACAAAATGGACTTGACTAAATCAGAACGACAGACAAACATTTTTTTAAATTTTTCTGGACAGAACAAAAAGAACATATAAATATATTAGTCAGGATCTGGCCAACAGTCTTCAAATTACAAGACCACAATGAAAACTCTAAGTCTCACCGCAACATTAAAAGAAAATTGCATCCAAATGGTATTTCTTTGTATGTTTTGGCTTCCTTTGAAGTTGCTTATTTAGCAAACTGTTTAAAAAGTACTAAGCAGCCTGGGTAGGCTATTACATTTTCCAAGCTAGCATTAACAACACTACCATTAATAATAGTTAAAAAATAATTCTTAGAGATTTGCAAAGGATAATCTACCTAAAGCTTTAAGTAGGGTAACTTTGGTGGAGAGAAGTAGAAAATACGCAAAACCTAAAAATCTGAATATATAATACTAGACAAGGAATTTTTAAGTTACTTAGAGATTAACTATCTTCACAAAATCTTTATGTCACACAAGATGAAAAACATAAAAAGTCACAATTTTTTCTCAAGATGGCCATTTTTTCCCTTTCTCTCTCCCAACTACTCAAATTCTTTGTAATATTTAGATAGGATACATTTGACCTTGAAATATGGACAACCCATCTGCTTCCCATCTCCCTGCCTGTCTACCTTGGCCCAACCAGAAGAGGGAGGAGGCACGCAGAAATGGTAGGTAGAAGAATTTTTAAAAACACCTATTACTTATAAATAAGTAAAGGGTGATGTCTGATATCTGATGTTAAAATATAATGAATTAAACTATGTCTCAACAAATTGCCCAAGACAAAATTTTATTTTAAATTTGCAAGTAATTCAAACATACAAAGATGAGGTACTGACATTTTCCTTAGGTCTACTGGTGAACATCTTAATTTCTATACAACTCGCTTCTTTCCACTAGTAAGGACTTTAGTGATTGATGGGATGAGATGAAGAGTTGAAGAAAAGAAGGTTTAGGTACTAGATCACAGCTAATTGTACAATATTTGAAGATTAATTTTCCACTTTCTTCTTCCCCAATCACCTAAAAACAATTCTAGAATCCAAGATACTATAAGGTTCTCTGCTGCACTATATAAACTAGACTATAAACTTTATATATAGCATATAGCCAATTTTCTATCAAGGGTCTACTGAGAATTACCTAAGTTACCCAAATGCACAAATGCTCTATGCTCAACTGCATTGTGTAAAGACAATGGATAGGCTATACAACCTAAATATGGTACTGATTCACTCTGTGCTTTCCTGACTAAAGTAGCCATAAGCATAAAACTCACCAAAATCAATTTATTATATATGCAAAACACCATCAATGGGATAAACAAACTGCTTATCAACTTGTAAGTATATCTCTGAGAATACTCATAGTCTTCATGTTTCCCTTCATAAAAGTCTCCCTTCCCCTTCTTTCCCTTCAAACTCCATTCAAAAAACAAAAACAAAAGCAAAAGCAAAAAACAACTTCCCTTCCCTAGGAAGCTTTCCTAATAAATCCCACCTCAGGTCCCTCAAACAACTCAGCAATCTTTATCACTTTATATACACAATTTGACAGTCTACTTCATGAAATTTAAAAGAAGGGGAAGGATAATACCATAGATCCTCTAAACACCATTTATGGCATTTGTTTCTGTGGGAAAATACACTGAGTTCCAGCTTGGGACTAGAGTAATACACACGCCACTGGAGGAAACACTGGTTGTAAAAAGAGACTACCCCATGGGTGAAAAAAAAAGAGGTCCCTATAAAAGCCAAAAGCGCCTTATGAACTATCTCCGGAAAGTCTGATATATACATGCATATATGTTTGTATACACGTTTTATAGCCTTTTACCAGTAATGTTGCATATTGGGGGGTCCATTTCCCCCCTGCATTTGCTCTATGTTCCCCTTACAGAACCGAGAAGGAAATTGATCTTCTATTTTAACTCCTATTTTCACATCAAGGTATGCACATTTTCTCTACCGGGAGCCAGGGCTAAAAGTCACAGAACCTGGATTCCAATCATCCACACTCCACTGCTTACTAGCACTGTGATCTTGGCAGAGTCCTTTTAACTACTCTGAGTCTTGGTTTCCTCATCTAGAAAATGGGGATAATAGCAGCTGCCCTGCCTACCTCAGAGAGTTATTCTAAGGATTACAGGATATAATGTATGAAGTAGCTGTGTAAGCTAATTGCTGCACAAATGGAAGGTATTCGTCGTAGTAGTGTAGTGCTTTGTAGTCAGTGCTGACTGACTGTGTGTGACTCATGGCTCTTACCCAGCTACACCAAATAGGAGCTGAAAATAAATACAGGTTTTTTTAAAATTAGTTTGTGTACGCAGACTGATTAGTCAATTCAACATCAAAGTACCCCAGCGACACCTGTGAAATCAATCTTACTTAATCTGCCATTCAAAGCCAAGTCTGCTTTGAATCTCCATCCTTAATGAACTCCGAGTAGAAGCAAAGTTGTTCCAGTCGTATTTTGGGGCATAGTGGAGGGGAGGGGAGATAGAGGGCTGCGCTTATGAATGCGGAGGGTGCTTTTTCTCCCAGGGAAATGTCTGAACTCTGATTTCCACGCTGATTGCAATAAAATCAATCACTGAAATTATAGTAACAAAACTCTTTACACTTTCTTATATTAAACACCACAGCACCTGGGATTGAATTTGACCAGTGTGACTCCAGAAGATCGAAGAATTGACAAGTGTTCCCCCACTTAACTTTCTAGTTGTGCGCACAGCGGCGCCGACACCCGCCGGCCCCATCCAGTCAATGCCCCAGCAGCCCAGCCCGCTCCACATAATCACCTAGACAGTTCTGTGGCGGTCGATATGTCAGAAAAGACATGAGGAAAACCCACCCAGTTTTCCCATGTGTCCAGATCCAAAGCTGTGGCTGCCTAGCAATGCCTCACTCATCAGGCGGACGCTACAGTAACAGCTCCACCCCCACCCCATCCCCCTTCCTCGTTCCAGCGAGGCCCTTGGGCGGAGGGCACCCAGGTTCCTCAGACTTCGATTCTCTGCCCCCCTCTCTCCGCCCCCAGCAAGGCCCGCTCCTGACTCCCCTTCACGGTCCGGTCGAGCTTATTCCAGAGCCTTGCAGCGCCCACTCAAGAAAGACGGACGGGAGAGACTGGATGAAGCAACTGGGGGGACTAGATCGATAAAGGGGTCAGACACCTGCCCCCAGGAGGGCGATTACAGCCGAAGAACCAATCGTGCTCCTCAGCCCCGGGCTGCCCGGCGAGCTCCAAGCTGAGAAGAGCGGTGTGCCACTATAAGAGGCACTGGAGAGAGTGGAAGACGAGAGTCCCAAGATAGGGAGACAGAAGAAAGGAACAGTCAAGGAGGAAGGGAGGAGAGAAGAGGGAAAAGTGAGAAGTATATGGAGAAAGAATGGTTGGGGGGGGAATAAGAAAGGGAAGGGGGCAACAGGAGAGGGAAGGAGGCAGGGAGAAAGAGGCAGAGGGGCGGTGAGGAGCCGGCGCCGCACTCACCCCATCTTTGCAAGCTTGCCTAGCCGCCCACTCCGACGGGACTCTCTAGCATTCGCTTCTAGCAGAAGAGCTTCTCCAGCCGCTTCCGAACTTGGCACACGCGGCTTCTAGTCTGCGTCCCGCTCAATCCCAGCGCGGCTCCATTCGGCTGGGCTGTGGGGCCGCCGCCTGGCAAGGGCGGGGGCGGGGCGGCTGGGAGCTCCGACGGTGAGCCCTCCCTCCGCCTCCGCCTCCTGCCTCTTTTTGCCTCCTCCCTCTTTCCCTCCTGCCGCTCCTTACATAACCTTGAGTCCCCGGCGGCAGTGGCGGTGCGCATGGGCTCGCAGAGACTGTACACCCCAAGCCCAGCTGGGGACCAGCCCCAGCACCATACCCTACATCCCGGGCAGCTGCCGAGTGGAGGGAGAAAGAAAGAAAGGAGAGAGGAGGAGTTTCCCTGCCGGGCTACACACACTCGTCCCTCCTCCCCGCCGCACCCCAACCAGCACCAGGTTTCATTCACAGCTGTCTTCGGCCGAATGACTCTAGATCTACTCTAGGGCGATCCGTACACTTGGATTACTGGCATCCCTCCCTCAGCCAAGTCATCTGGAATACACAGACCCACAGAACTTCAAAGCTGGGAGGAACCTTAAACATCATCAGACGGGAGAGGGGGCTGGGGGCGTTTCTTAACCTGAGGCCCACAAACCCCCAAGAGGTGCTTGGGATAGTTTCCAGAGTGTTAGTGAACTTGGATTGGGGGGGGGGGAAATGTATCTTTATTTTCAACAATCTCTACATGAAACTTAACACCTTCAATTAGGCAACAAAACTGTTGAGAAGGGCTCTGTGACACCAACAAAGGTTAAGAACACCTGATCTAGACTAATACATTTTTTTTAACAAAGGAAGAAAATGAGGCCCTCAAAAGACTGTAACATGCCCAATTAGGTGAGTGGTATAGGAAGGACTAGATCCAAGGTTTTCTGATGCTTGTTCTAGTGACCTTTCCACTGCACCAACTTTAAGTATTTATTAAGCATCTTTATTAAGCCTTACGCTGCCCCCACATGGCATGGAAATGGTCTTGGGTTCCTACAGGCTATATGCCTTTAAGAAGCTGGAAAGAAAAGACATCCGAGTACTGGTGGTAATGAACTGTTTGTTTTGAAAAGACCAGTCTAGCTACATTGGGAGAAAATCATCACCAGTAGATTGGCTATCAAGAGCTTTATTTTCTTTCTTTCCCTGCTTCCAACTTTCTTTACTTGCTTGTTTCCTAGTTTTCTTGCTTTTGACAGCAATTCATGAAATCATCTACTAAGGAATGGAGGGCGTGTCATCTGCCATAGTGCCTGACTGGCACACAAACAGAATCAAAGTACTCCTTTTTCTCTAGATCAAGATCTAAGAGGACCATGATATCAGGGAGGTGATGCCAGGACAAGCAAGTGAATTAGATTTAAGTGAGGGAGGGCTGTGCAAAGTCCCAGCCTCACTTTCTCCTCTGGAGCCATCTGGGTCCCGTGGCAAGATATAGATCAGGATGACTGGAGATGGCCTGGGATGCAGACCTTGGCCTTTTAAAGCTAAGGTCTTTAACATGTTTCAGTGATTAAGGCTAGGTAAGAAATAAGGCACAGAATGGCTTCCTTACCTAGTTTTTTTTTTAAAATCAATCTGGGAAGGAAAGACCCTCAGGGTTTCTGGCCAAAACACAAACAACTGCTATTTACATTCACTCTGAGCCAATTAGGGCCTAAACAATGATCCTGTGGGGCTACCCTAAGGACCTATTGTTGACCAAACAACTAGGGCCTGGAATGATTTGGCTTTAAGGTGGGGTCCTTAAAAGAAAAAAAAGGTTTCAGCCATCAGAATTTACATTCCTTTGGGCAGAGCATCCACATGTAAGGGTACGACACCCAGTGTGGACCGAGGGAATGGAAGAGAGAGAGAGAGAGAGAGAGAGAGAGAGAGAGAGAGAGAGAGAGAGAGAGAGAGAGAGAGAGAGAGAGAGAGAGAGAGAACGCTGTGTTGTATTGCCCAACTGGCCAGTTCCATTTGGGTCCCCAGTGGGGCAGCTCCTATTTTCTATTCACAGTTGTTTGTCCTTCATCCTCAAAGGGGAACATGACATCAGGAAGGGGATGCCATGACATGCAAGTGAATTGGATTTAAATGAGGGAAGGCTGTGCAGTCACTAGCCTCACTTTGTCCTCTGGAGCAACTGAGTCCAGTGGTGAGATCAGGACAACTGGAGATGGTTTTCCCCTAGTGTTCTTTTGAAACTACAAGTTGTTCAGGAAGATGCATCCCAGAAAGGCATCCTAAAAATATCAATGATGTGAGGATTTCAAAGCTTACTTATGGCTCTTTTCTCCAATGCTTACGGATAATAGCCAATCATTTCTCCTTGTACCTCACTAGAAATGGCACAAGAGCAAAGTTGTAAGAGATCATGCCTAGTATAGTGTGGTCACCTGGGTATTTCAAAAACTAGAAGTAAAGGTAAAGGTTGGCCCTCTGGTCAGATTTTTATCATGGGAACAGTCCCTATTAGCAGTGCTCATAATATATCTGTTAGACACAAGAAATACAGATTTTATATTGTAGTTGCTCTAAGAGATTGGACATTTCCCCAACAGTGGCAGTTGGGTGGATAGCCTGTTGAGTTGGCCCACAGTAAATATCTCTCAGGCTCTGAAGATAGCATTGGGTCTAGAACTAAATAGGAAATTGTGCTATATCAGACTGCAGAAATTGTATGGTATTTTCAATTATCTCAAGCTCCTTGCTGCTACCAAAGCACATTATAAAAAAAATCAATATTCCCGCAATAATAGTATGCCTGTGATCCATGGATTCTTCTAAAAGAATTAAAATTGCAGGTGACCTAGATGTTGTCTGGTAGGTTATAAGTAGCCTACAATATATTACTAACATGACTTGTGCAATGTGGCATAAAGAACACCAGGGACGTATATGACTTGAAAAGGATATAGGCCAGCTATATTTGTTACAAGGGAAGATTTTTATTTGGTGTGGGCATGATGAGGTTTAAGGGTGCTGGGACCCCAACATCACAACACTCGGGTCCTGTCCAAAAGAATTCAACCCAAGCCTTCTTTCAGCCAAAGACAAAGTTTATTAGAACATCATGTTGGCCAGACTCTTAAGGAATCTGAATATTAGTGAGCTATGGGCTAGATTTTAAGAATCTGAGCACCTTAATGAAGACAAGATAGACCTTGTATACAGAAAGACTGTGGGAGGGATCTAGGAGTGGCCAAGTAGTTTGGGGTGACTTGAGGAGGGGTCTAAGGAGATCTGGATGAGAGTGGCCAATAAGCTGGGGTGAACAGAACTCCTGGGACCTGGATAATAGAGCCTAGCTAGCGTTAAGTGTGAGAAATGGCCAGGGGCCATAAAGAGGGCTAGCTGGGTTAAGGGTAACAGAATTGAGAGATTGGGTGTAGCCACAAAGAAAGGCCAGTTGATGGAATTATAGCCTCAGGTAAATGCCAGAGATATGGCCATGTGGGAAAGTCCAGGGTTTTTCTTTTTTGGGATTTAGCTCCCATCCTCATCAGAGACACAAACATGGCAATATTGTTCAACCTACCATACCCTCAAATTGCATACCAGTTTATGATAGCACATACGATTCTCTTTTGCCCTTCATTGTATATTGGAATGTTTGTGTTAATTATAATTTTAAAAAAAAGAAAAATTTAAGAGAGATAGATAACAAATGGACAATTCTATTGTGGCACTGCTATTCATAAAATATCAGAAGACTGGGAGGCTTTCAGCAACCTGGGTAGATACTCTATAAATGAATCATGGAAGGACATGGAAAAGAATTGCACAGAAGGAGAAACTGAGACTTAGGAAAGAGAGAAGAAGTGACTCATACATAATCACCAAGGTCAATTCCAGACTGAGAATAAGCTGTACCAAAATTATCTAAATTAATATAGTCACATAACACTTTGGGGAATAAGATAAACAGATGTATAGATCTATATCTATATATATCTATTTGTGTGTGTATATATGTATATACACACACACACACAGAAAGAGAAGGAAAGTGACAGGAGGGGGGGTTGAGAGAGAGAGAGAGAGAGAGAAGAGAGAGAGAGAGAAGAGAGAGACCCCTTAAGTGCTGGCCTGAGGTATGTAGGTATGCACTAGTATTAAGTTGTTTGGTAGAGGAGAGCAAGCTGGAAATGAGGTGTGGCTCCCTCCCATTCAAGCTCTGAAAGGTTTGCATTGTATAGGATTTAGACAAGGGTATTAGCACATGAGCCATGTGTACAGTTAAGCAAAGTTGACAAGAGGGCAATTTGAAACAAGATAGACATAAGCAACTAAATGAAATATAAATAAAATTTGGGTGAAGCCAAAATACAAGAGAACCCAAAATACAAACTTGGGTGGACCCATCCAAAGTCCTGGGTGTGGCAACCCAAAATAAGAATGCTTTGGGTGAATCTAGGACCTGGGAGAACCCAAAATATCTTACAGCCATCTCCAGTATTCCTAGAGAGTTACTGGGGTCAGGTGGCACCCTGGATATGGAAACCTTTAATCATATAAGATCAGACTTAAACAGTATATTAATTTTTCCCAAACAATATAATCATTTTCCCCACAACCTCCAACCTTTCAGACATCTTGAGCTGGATGTTCAGTAGACATTTTAAACTCAATATGTCCAAAATTGAACTTCTTATTGTTCCCACTAAATCTCCCTACCTTCTCTACTGCTGCAGAGGGCAACCATTCTCCTAGACCCTCAGCCTAAAACCTAGGAGTAATCCTGGATTCCTCACTATCTCTTACCCCCATATCCAAGTTATTGCAAAGTCTGGCCAATTTCACTAATTTCAACATCTCTCAAATATGCCACCTTCTCTCCTCTAACAGTGCCACCCCTTTAGTGTAAGTCTTTATCACCTCACACTTGAACTGTTGCAATCACCTGCTGATAGCTCTGCCTGCCTCAAGTCTCCTCACTCCAATCTATCCTCCATTCAGCCACTAAAGTGATTTTTCTAAATTACAAGCCCAACCATGCCACTCCCCTACTCAATAAACTCCAGTGGTTTCTTATTGCCTTCAGGAACTAATACAAAATGCTGTTTGGTATTCAAAACCCTTCATAACCTTGCTCCCTCCTATTTTTGCAGTCTTCTTA